ATTTGGCAACCCCCCCCAATTCCCTTTTTTTTTTTTTTTTTTTTTTTTTTGTAAATTTTGATCAAATCAGCACCAACTGCCTTGAACCAAAACCAGAGCCATTTTAGTATTTTAGCATTTTGGCTCAGCTGCATTTATCATCTACAGAAAGTCCCCCGAGTGCACCGCGTTTGAGGAAGCAAGCAGCTGTGACCCTGCTGTGCTCGCAGCCGTACTCTTCAGACCAGCATCCCTACGTGTTATTCTGCCAGGAACCAGGAGAGGGTGCTGGTAAATTTGGCTATAATTTCATTTATCCGGAGAGAAACCTCGTTCTGTAGAACGCCTATTCCCTGTTTCTTCCCCAACCACCCCCCAAGACCTTTTGAACTCCAGACTCCGAGGGGTTTGTCACTCACCAGCCAGGATGTGAGTAGCAGCACTGATGAAATCAGCATCTTGAGTCTCATGACAGTAAAGCTCCTACACCAGAGTGATCAGAAGAAGTCATGTATGGCAACGGAGTGAAGTCACACAGATCCTTTGGATAAAGGATGTCCCACGGCTTGCTTCCAACTGTGGCTCTGCCAAAAGGGCATTTGAAGCCCTTGGACATTAGCTGTGTTGGATTTAAAACCAGAGAGACTCCTCTCTGCCACAGGGAAACGACCACCCTCGTGTAAAAAACCATTCTGGTGCATCAGGGGCAGACATTTGGCACAACTGCATGACTTTGTAGGAACTGCTGCTAGCAAAAAAGTTATAAACAGTTTATAAAAAGGGAAATACATCCCTTTTCAGCTTTGAACCAGTCACAGAATCATAGGGTGATCTAGGACCTCTCTCTGAATCACAGAACTAAACAGTTTTTAAGCCAAGATGCAAATGCTACCCACTTAAAATCAATCTAAACCTTCAGTCGAAATATAAGCATGTTCCAAACTCTTACCCAAACTTGAATATTCAACCCTTTTTCTCTCCCTCCCTACAGTTTTTCAAACGCTCCTTCTCCACATCAACAGGTTGGCACTTTGAAGCAAAGGCAGTGGATGAAATGCAATGGGAACATGGGAGGAGATGAAGAAGGCACAAGCAGCATCTTCTGCTGCTGAAGTGACTTCCAGCAGTTCAGACAACAGCTCACTCAGAAGTGAAACCCACTGTGTCATTCCATCTTCCTCTCTTAGAAGAGAAAAACATACTGTGACAGAATGTAAGCAGCTGGATTAACAGGGACTGAAAGAAGAAAATGGGATAATTAAGGGATACAAAGTTATCTTGGCCCAAACCGTGTTCAGAACATAAAACAGCACATGGATTTGGTGTATTTGTAGAACATTTTAATTTTTAGCTCAGAAACACACACTAAGGTAGAGCTTAAGGCATGCAATCAGGCATGAAACTTGTTTTGCTTTTTGTGCTCATATCTTCAGTGTAAGTTCTATGAAAAGGAGTAGATCCTATCTTTAATCTCTAAGTAAAGCAACTCTAAGTACCCACTTACAGCCCGAGGTTCAATGCAATTTTTACAGCTGTTCCTGGAATGCAGGATTTACTTAGAGGGAGACTCAGTTATTATTTTGTGTGATTTGTTCTATGCCACATAGAGAAAATGTCACATCCTTCACAAAGTAAGTTTGATCAGTGACAAGATCAACAGAAGCAAAACAACCTTCTCCACTTATAAACATGCTGCAATGACATCTGCTTACATGGTTTGATTGCTCTTTTACTGGAAAATAGAAATAATCTAATGGATGGGGGGTGGGGAAAAACACCTTTGATTTCTGTACCTTGCCAGGTGTTGATTTTCTTCTAAAAATAAACCAAAACCAGATGCTACAAACAAAACAGACAAAGGAG